TGCGGCCAGCACTGGAGCGGCCCTGGCTTCTTGTATTACCTGACCTAGAGAAGCAGCCTGGTACGCATACAGCCCCAAGTTCGCCAAAAGCGACCCTTATCACCACCGGCTGTCACTCAATCTTAAGAAACTCTTTTCTTCTCCGTCTTATTCCTTAAAGTTTCACCCTCAAACGTGAGGGGGAAAATAAGGCATCCCGAGTTTCAATAGCGAGAGAGGCCTTCACTCTTTTTTGCAGCTCGAGAGAAGAAATCTAGCAACTTCTGTTTTTGTGCTTTTAGCCTGGCTGTGTTAAACAAGTCAGGAATTAGAAAGTTGACCTATATCTACACCTCGTTCTTTCTCTTCGGTATACACCTGCATCCTGATAGGCAGATGTATGAGATGCTACTTGAGTAAACTATTGCCGTGGGAACTGCGACGTTCGTTTTGAAGCTCATAATGTATAAAATTATTTTCAAAGCCTACACCTAAGAATAAGCCATTCAGCATGTGTCCAAATCCAAAATTCTGTTGCGTGTTGAACTTTATGTTGGTGATCTGCCTTAACACTCAATTGCAGGCAGAAAACTTTAAGACTAAAATCTATTTGGTAATCTGAAACTGCCCCTAGCTAAGATGTATGCTTCCATAGCTAGGAAAAAAAAAAATGTGGCTTTGCTTTGAGTGGGCTTTTTTTTTTTTGAGGGGGGCGGTGGAAATTGAGCGTCACAGCCAGATTTTTCTCTCCTATTAATAACTGCGAGTTTTGAATGGCATCTGGTAAAGCAACTGGAGATTTCTAGTTACTAATTTTATCTAGTTACACTTTTATCAAAGTATACCAGTAATTGTCCAATTAGCACTGCAGAGAAATGTTTGCTTTGATTCAGATATATAATTACAGCCTTACACATTTTGTGTGTGTGTAGGAACAGCATATAACCTCACTTACTTGCCTTCAAGATACTGCTTTAGTCAAAGATATTCATATGTAGGTATGGTTGGTAAGATTTGTATTTTATTTTTTTCTGTGTTACGCATACATGAGAATAATATTGTATAGTTTGTGTGTTGAAGTCTATGTGGTAAAACCAGACCTTGGACAGAGTAGTGGGGCAACCTATCTAAATGCTGAAGGAAGCTTGCTTTAGTGCTCAAACAATTCGTTTGAAGAGTTCAAGAATCTATAAACAGAAATCAGTAAAATTAGGAACAAAAAGATTTGCCAAACCAAAAAATTGTTCTTTGAAGATTAATAAGCTAGACAGACCTCTGATAAGATTGATCAAGAAGAAAAGACGCAAATAAAATAAGTGAAAAATGGGAAATAACTATAAGCATGAGATTAAAAAAATAATTTTATGAATTGCTGTGGATTAATAAATTTGAAAGCCTAGATGAAATGTTTAAATTCTTAGAAAACTATGAACTGTGAAAATTGGTGTCAGAAGAAATAGATAGTTTGAACTAATAAATATTTAATAAACTGAAATGGTACTTAAGGACCTCCCCTTTCAAAAATCTGGACCTGGATAATCTTATAAGTAAGTAACATTGAACTTTTAAATATTACTTAACTCCTTTTCACAAGTTTTTATGGGAAATAGAAAAAAAAAGACACCAAACTCATTTTATGAGGTTAGTGAAACCTCGATTCTAAATCTAAATAAGGATAATATGAGAAAATTATAGATCTGTTTCACTTTCTAGCAAAGATATAAAGATCCTACACAATAAACTAGCTCATCAAATCCAACGGTATGTTGAAAGAATTACGATCCACAGAGTTTAAGAACATAAGCATGGTTTAACATTTATCAATGTAATTTATCCCATTAATAGGCAAAAGGAGAAAAATGATTATCTTGATACCATAAAATTATTCACCAAAATCCAGCACCTATATATGATGAACTCTTAGCAAGCTCAGAAGATAACTGTGTGAAAATCATAACCAAAATCCTACAGCAAATAATAATACATAATGGAGGAATTTTAGATATAGTCACTTTAAGCCCGGTGACAGTAAGGATGCCTCCATCATTGTTACTGTTTAACATGGTAAGAAAGGTCCTGGCTAACACTATAAAAGGAAAAAATGGGAAGTATAGGATAGGAAGGGAAACAATAAACTCATTATTTGTAGATAATATCACTTACCTAGAAGAACAATTAGAATCAAAATAGAAACTATTAGAACTAGTAAGAGTTTAGCAGGGCTACTGGATTTAAGATCAACTTACAAAAATTAATAGTATTACCCTGAACAAGCCCAATCCCATCTGATCTTGGAAGCTAAGCAGGATCAGGCTTAGTACTTGGATGGGAGACCACCTAGGAAGACCAGGTGCTGTAGGCGTAAAAAATAAAAAGTAAGGGATTGTAAACTGACGAGGTCCTTGCAATCTGTGAGGTCAACCAAGGGTTGCCTCGCCGCCCCCCCCCCCAAATTAATAGTATTTACTGTGCTAGCAATAACCAACTATTAAAGACAATCAAAAGTAAATATTGTATAAAATAATAGTAACAAAACTATAAAGTCTCTAGGAATTAATGCAAGAATACATAAAACTTAAGGAGCAAACTTTAAAACTTTAGTAAGGAACTAGAAGAGGATCTGAATAAACGGAAAAACTTTTCTTGCTCTTGGATTAAGAGTACTTATTATAAGAATGTCAGTTTTCTCCATTTTTAATCTATAAATTTAATTAAAATGCCATCAAAATTCCATTTGGTTTGTCTGACAAACTCAATCACCTAAATCTAAAATTTATATGGCAGACAGGATAAAATTTGTCAAAACCTAAATCAGTCTTAGAGATTTGCTTTAATGGGGCTTGCCTTATCAGAAGTTAAGATACTATTTCAAGGCAGTAGCAATAAAAACTAGTATAAATGAAAGAACAAAAAAATAGACTGGGAGAACAAATCACAGAGCATAGACTTACCTATATCTGTTCAGAACTTCAAGGTGGCATTGTAAATCACTGGAGGAAGGAGTCATGTCAGGGAGAGTTGCTCACTATATGTGAGCAAGCCTAACACCATAAACAAGATGGACTCTAGATAAATTAAAGATCTAAATATGAAAGGAAAAATGGTAAAATTAATAGAAGAGAGGTGCTGTAGGTCTCAGGGACTGAGAAGGACTTCTTATAGCTTCACAAACTTATAAAGTGAAAAATTACGTTGTATAAAAATCAAGGATTTTCATTCAGTGAAAGATGGATGAAAGAATGGGAGAACATATTTGCAGTGCCTAAAATTAACAAGGGATTAATATCTAGACAAAGGACTACACATCAATAAAAAGGGCAGCGACCCCTGTAGAAAAATAGGCAAAAGATATTAATAGATTACAACGTAGGAAGCGTAGAAAGATGTTTGAAATTATTAAATAATCAGAGACATGCAAATTAAAATAATGTCTTCTCTCACCTGTTAGGTTAGCAAACATTAGAAAGCTGGATAGTACCAAGTGTGGGTGGGGAGATAGGATAGAGGATCTGCTTGATAGGACTAGCAGTGCAGTGGACCTGTAAGGTTTGAGATGCCCAAAGTCTCTGTAAACTAGATGATGAAAGCCAGCTGGAGTGTTGGTGTAGCCCTGCTCTATGATGGTGAAAGTGTACTTCTGGACTGTTGGATGAAAACAGCTCTGATTGTTTTTGGAATAAATTTTTAAAAAGCATTTGTTAGCCTGATGGATGCATACTAGGTCCTAGAGACTATGAGGATTTGTCCCTATAAAGAGACCATGTCTGGAACAGCAACTACAATGGTAGTCACCACTTGGTTTGATTTGCTATAATTTGTATTCTCTTAGACCTAGCTCCTCTGCTCTGGCCAAATAGGCTAATGAAATTGGAGTGCCGTAACAGTCACCATCCTGGTATCTTTCACGGCTTTGAAGTTGTTCCCCACAGGGATGTGCTTTGGGTTTATTATTTTGGTAGGAAGGGGCACATCCAGGGGACTTTCCTTGACCCTGCCTACACGAATAGTCCTTACTCCATAGTTCAGGGAGCCAGGATTAACTGTGCGTTCGGAAACTGGGAAATGCAGGATGGGCCCACTATGAGATGGATTGAAGCCAGAACACTACTTATCAGTGTGGCATCCACAGCTGATATGACTGGTTTACCACAGTGACATTCTGGTCCCTAAGGATTGCTGTCAGCTTCGAGCCAGTATTGTGTAACTACTGAACAGCCTGAGTGAGTCTGCTTCCCAGATGTACTGTTCCCTAGATAAATAGCTGCGTACTCTATTGGAAAGGGCTGGGAAGAAGACCTCAGGTATGCTCTCAGGTATGCTCTTGGTGCAGTTTTGTAGCGTCTCCTCAGTGGAACCCATCCTCTCTTCTATTCCTGGAGCTCTGTGTCTGTAAACAGGCTCAGTCTGGATATTAAGTGAGGTGCCTAGCATAACTCCATTGTGGTCACTTAAATCAGGCCTCTGTTAGCTATACCTGGAGTTTTTTTTTCCTTCCCATTATACACATCAAGTAATACCTTAATGTGTAATGCCTGTCTGTTTTCCTAAGGACACCATGGTTAGCCACCGCCAGAGATCCAAGCCGTTCTGATAATCAGTCTGGTCCTGCTGTTTGTTGTCCTAATCATGCCCATTTTATATCTGAGGATTCAATGTTTCTACTTATCCTTTATCACTCTAAGAATCCCACTATCCTGGTGGAATCAGGGCGCCCCTTTCAATGACAATATTGCCCATCTTTAACCCAGAACTACAAAGGACAGCCACCCCAACATTTTTCAAGGATGTTATGCATCCTTCACCCATATTTCTCAATTCCTTGGTGAAGGGTCTTCTCAGAGGACAGTTAGAGGAAGAGAAGGAGTGAGAGAGAGGAAGGGAAGGGGCGGGGAGAGAGAGAGAGACAG